ATATATAGAGTCGTATAATGAATCAGTAAAAATTTAAATTTGCAAATGTAGAATCGTACCATAAAAAAACTTATCTTTTAAAAAAAAAGATAAACAAGATGCCAAGTCCATGCGCCATGTGAAAAAGAAATAAAAAATTTTAGTTAAAAAAACTGGGAGCGCTGCTAAATAATATTCTAACAATATTAAAATTAAATTGTTACTTTTAAACTCATTACAGTTAAAATATGTTTTGTGTTTAAATTAATTAATGTTACTTTAAGGTGCATTGTAATTTTGAAACTTAGCAGCGCGCCCAGTTTTTTTAACTAAAATTTTTTTATTTCTTTTTCACATGGCGCATGGACTTGGCATCTTGTTTATCTTTTTTTTTAAAAGATAAGTTTTTTTATGGTACGATTCTACATTTGCAAATTTAAATTTTTACTGATTCATTATACGACTCTATATATGTCTGCAACTTTAATTTTCCACTGGTACAAGTTTCTACTTTCACTTGGCGCAATTTTTTTTTTATTTCATTACTTTTGTTACGATTGTACATGGGTTTATAATCGATAATTTTTCATACAATTCTATTGTACATGGGTTTGCAATGTAGGATTCTACATAAGTTTGCAATGGATAATTTTTAATACAATTCTACATGGGTTTGCAATGGTTAATTTTTCATAGGATTCTACATGAGTTTGCAATGGTTAATTTTTCATAGGATTCTACATAGGTTTGCAATGGGTACGATTCTACATGGGTTTGCAATGGTTAATTTTGCCTAGGATTCTACATGGGTTTGCAATGATTAATTTTTCATAGGATTCTACATGGGTTTGCAATAGGATAGGATTCTACATGGGTTTGCAATGGATAATTTTTGTTAATGGCGTGCCCTTAACTGGTCGCCTTTTTTTACCTTTTTTTAAAGGTGAGTTTTTAGAGATTATTTAATATTATACGATGCAATAATGACTATTATACATACAGCAAATCTTGCGAATATCTGATTCAAGTAGAATCGCGTACATTACACATTTCTAGATCGGTCGGTAATAATGTATTTTAGCGAATTGTTTCAGAATTTAACAATATACACGTAATAAGTTTAATATTAAGGTACAACATTTTCACCACGCAGATGATTAAATTTATATTTGAATAAATATCAGATGTTTATAGATATTAATAATTATTGACCAATTTCAAATTTTGTGTATATTTTAATTTTTGGAAATATAATCAACATACTTTTCAACGAGTTCGTTAATTAATATAATTTGTATAGTTTGATTATGGACATATTAGTAAACATAAGATATGTAAGAGTACATTTATTTCTCAAAGCTATTTCTTTTTCGATTATCATTCTATGTACGCATACTTTTTATTTTATCGTATTTCAAATTTAGTGTTAAATTGTTTAGATGTTAAAAATTTTTGTTTGTAGACATGCAAAAAAATGACGAAAAGATTTGAAGACGTTACGTACACTGTATTTTCATTTATTTAATTACAAATTTTGTAAATTGTTATAACTTATTTATTAATTTCAACAATTGTAATTTAATCATCATTGTTAATTTTAACGTATCTTTTTTATCAATTTCTCTTGATCTTTATTTATATTCTTTTTTATTTGCCAGATTCTGTAATATCAGAGGCGATGTTCATGTTCGCGGTGACAAGTCTGCATAAATATGCGTCGATCAAGCCAAAGGAAGATTTTGTTTTTAGTCCATATAATATATATCACGGACTTTATTCTGCTTATATGATTTCAAGTGGTGAAATGGAACAGCGTTTAAGAGATATTCTTTATTTACCAAATGTTTCGAAGTATGAGTTGCTGAAAATTATTAATTTTGATAAATACCCCGCACACCGACCTGTACGCTATAAGGTAAATAATTTTGACGTTTATTTCAATAATAATATTAATCAAAATATTATAATAAAAAATGTCAAAATATTAAATTGTGACTTATTTCTATGTAGACTAATTTGAATGAAGTAAATTGATGCAATTTTATAATATGATACAAAGATTCAGTTTATGTAAATAAACATGTGAAACAAACATTTTAAGAAAGTGATATAAATCTTATATTTAAGAATGAATAGAGATTGTTTAAACATTTTTTTAATGTTCTAGAATGCTACTTCTTATATGCCTTACCATTATGTAATTCAAAATCAATGTATATTTTTAAACAAAAAACTTTGTAAAGACTTAAAAACACTGAGACGACTGTACAATGCTGGATTCCGATCTAAAAGAAATAATAATATCCAGGATACAAATAGAGAGTTCAATGAATCTCTGCAACCTTTGCTAAAGAATTTCCTTCGTAAATTAATGAACTTAAAAGTAAAAACAGAAGATATGGATATTTTTTTGGCAAACGTATTTCATTTCCATGGTCGAAATCTAATCGTCTCTCAATCGACTTCTTCTTATCTGAATTTTAAAACATGTGAGCATATATATTTTTTGCACTATGTTACTCTCTATATTAGCTTTTTACATGTTGGTAAATTTTAGAAAATTTAGTAAATTATGAAAATTAATCTTAAACAAAGCGTAATTCATCAATTTATTATTTATTTCTTGATAAAAGGCCCAATTAAAAATTATGCATTGATTTTAAGTCGTATAAATATTGTTAATAAGTGTTTGAATATGTTAAAAATAAATTAATTTATTTATCGCGTTATATTGCCACTTATTTTATTTACACTTTCTTATAACTAAGGCATGCTATATGTTTACTCAAATAATTTCTAATTCTTTGAAATGTAAAATTGATGTATAATAATATGGATGTTTTTTTTAGTTTCCAGTGATGAATTGCAGATGGACGTAAAGGAGTTAATCATCAAGGAACATTTTACGTCGCTGTATATGTTGATACCTTCTTCAACAACCACAAACAACACGGTTAAAACAGATATGAGCACTGGTCTATCCAGCTTGATTGAAAGATTGTCAACCAGCGAAGGAATGCGTATACTTCGAAAATTGCTGTCTTGTAAAAACGAACAAAAAGATAAATTACCATCTGTTCCTACTCGGCTGATCTTTGAAATTGAAAAAAATTTAGATATGCAAGTTTTGTTGCGAGAACTAGGCGTCGAACAGTTATTGACGCCCGACGCGATTCCTTTGGACAACACCTTCGCGGAAGACAATCAATTCGTGCACTTCGGCAATGCCGTGCACCGTGCTCGTGTCAAGGTCACGCAAGAGAACGTCAAGGCGGTTGCAGTAACCGTGATCAGCGGACAGGAACCTTGTTCGAACGACATTATAACCGACGTGAATACCGATTATCCATTTCTTTGGTTAATTTACGATAAAATGAACGCAGATATTCTCTATATCGGCCTCTTTAATGAAGTTGGCAAGCCCGTTTCTTGAATTATTGGATTGACAGATACAAATCTTATCAAACGAACTGTTCATTCTAGGAGTTTATTGGAAAGTCTTCATAATTATGATAACAAATTTAAGGGAAGCCAGTTTTGAAGTTTTAAAAAATATGATTTGTGAGAATTTTTTTTGGAAAAACTACAGCGAATTATTTCAACATTTTTAGGCAATTGTTATTAAATTTTTTAAGTACAACATTTTTTTATTTAAAAATGTAGACTGTGTAGATTGCCTTTGAGGAATCTTTTTGCCGTCGAAATTGCAAATTGACGAGTAATTTCATATACATCCAAATTTTATCTGAAATTAAAATACTAAAAATTTATTATTGTTTTGTTATAAGCTGCACCAAATTTTATACCATTTTTTTATTTTATTAGATAATTGGCAATACAATATCATAAATAATTAAAAAATTGGTTTTATAATTTAAAACGGGGTTTAAAGATATGAGAATGCTTGCAAATTTAAAACTCTGATTATTGGGATATACGAGTTTGTTTTTATAAAGCACCTTTTACAGACAGTACATTGCAGAAAACTATTTTTATATATATGTAAGTAACTAATAATTGCTTAAAATTTTAAATTATCCGCTATGCTGTTTTGCTAAAGAAAATTATTAAATTATACCATTTTTAGCTTTTACAGTAGCTTCTCTTAAATTCAGAAGTACACAAATCGGATATACTTTTTGTAATGGCGATTGGTAACAGAAATTTAGTTGGTGAAAAATGTAATTATTTTAACTTTATTTTATAATTTTCAAGTCTTTTTTTTGTCGATTTTAGTTACTTTGCATTTCATCCGCCCAATATATTTTATGATTAAGTTAAACCGATAAAATAGCAAATCAAATATATGTATATAAATACGTATGTATATAAATACAAATATATATATTTAAGTAAATATATACGTATATACGCGTATACATTTATGTATAAAGTTTTTATCATAAATGTTAATCATTGAATTATTTCTTTCAAATTTTATAGAAGAAACATTTGAACGCCAAAAAATTATCTCTGTCAAAATTTAACATTAAATATATTATAAAATGTGTATTAAATATGTAGCTTACAAAATTTGTAAAAAAATTAAATGTGCTATCGTAAATTTAGAGAAAATATTGCAAGTATTTTTATCATTTATAAATATGTAAAATTCTCAATTTATTTTAATTATATTCTAATATAAAACTGTAGATGTTCGAATTATATTTTATATTTTCGATAATATGTTACATCTGTTATTTTAAATTGATCTATATTTTTTCTTCCTAAGCTACAACATTATTTAGAACCAATAAATTTCGACTTCTTTCTTATTTGACATACACCATATATATATATATATATATATATATATATATATATTTATATATATATATATATATGTGTGTCTATAGGTGCTATTTATTTATTTGGATATTTACAATTGTATCACGATATGTGAGATAACGAATACTTATATACTATAATTTTAAATAAATTGCAAAATTTGGCATTAATATTAAATGATATGTTTTAATGTCCGTTTGTGTGTATACTTATCTAAGAATGAGTGTGTTTTGTTATAATTCTGGTTTGTTAAAATCGATTTGATTTTTCGCGCATAAATTTAATGATAATTTACGCGTGCGTCAAATAATATAAATATATAAAAGCAGCGTTTACATGATATCGACACACAAGCAACCGAAGCAAGTTTGACAAGGTTTTGTTACTGTATAGCCTAAAATGGAGCAGAAAAATCTAAGGAAGAAAATTGGTGAGTTTAATTATAATTTAATCCGATTTAACGAACAGGTAATAAAGATATACACAAATATGGTAATATTTTTTTCATGTTATTATTATATATTTTAAAAATATTATTCTATGGTAATTTAGTATATTTCGATGTATAGTGATTCTTGTATATAGCAAGTTTCGCGATTAATTAGATTCAAATATAGTTGCGTACATTATAATTTTCGAAGTTTATCGGTATTAAAAATGTATTTTAGCGAATAGTTACGCGATATAGATACAAATAAGTTCATCATTAAGATATAACTTTCACTTGGTTGACGACTGAAAGTATAGTTGAATAAATACTATCATTTTAGACATATTAAAATTATTGCAAAATATAATTTCTTCCAAATTGTTAAATATTAAATTTTTCTATTAAATTTCATGAATAACTGACCGATTGCAAATTTTGCGTTTATTTTAATAGCTGGAAATATAATCAACATACTGTTCGAGAAGTTCCTTACATATTTAGCAAAGTTTGACTGTGTACATATGTTAGTAAACATTAGATATGTAAGAATACATTTACGAAACTATTATTTTTTCAATTATTCTTATACGTATATTTATTTTTATCGTATCTAAAATTTATAATTAAATTTCTTATATATCGTCAAAATTTATTTTATCGACATGCAAAATCAATGTTGAAAATATTTGAAGATATTATACTCTGCATTTACATTTATTTAATTACAAACATTGTAACTTATTAATTAATTTTAATATTTGTAATTTATTCATCATTTTTAATTCTAATATATTCGATTTTTTAATTTTGCGTGATCTTACTTTATATTCCTTTCTTTCATTTGCCAAAAACTCAGTGTCAGAGGCGCGTTTCAAGTTTGCGTTGACAAGTCTGCATAAATATGCGACGATCAAGCCGAAGAAATATATTGTTTTTAGTCCATATAACATATATCACGGACTTTACTCTGCTTACCTGATTTCCAGTGGTGAAATGGAACAGCGTTTAAAAGAAATTCTTTATTTACCGGCGGATGTCTCGAAAAATGAGTTAATGAATATCATTAATTTTAATAACCCGGCGAAACGGCCTGAAAACTATATGGTAAATAGTTTTGACGCCCTTTTCAATAGTAATATTAGTCAAGAATATTATAATAAATAAATGTCAAAATTCAAATTTATATTGTATAAAAAGACACTTAAAGATATGTATCAAATATAAACTTTACAGCTCTAAATAATATGTATATTAAGCAGTAAAAGCTATAATAAAAAAAAAATATAAATGTGTAAACGAAATGAGATTTCGAATCTTTGGTAAATTTTATATACGTATTATTTTATATACATTTTCTCTCGTCTACATCAATTTTAGAGGAGTAAAGGGAAGAGGGATTTAAATCTTAATTTAGTGATTGTTCCTCGTCTTAGCAAATAGCTAAGTATTATATTTGGTATTTTACAACGATACAGTCCCTATCTTTTATATACATCATTGAGCAAACTTTTAATAAATGTTTTTTTAATAAAATCCAAAGATCTTGCTTATCAAAATATTAAATTTTGATTCTTTTTTATATAGACTAATTTAAATAAAGTAAATTGATGCAATTTTAAAATATGGTATAATGATTCTGTCTGCATAAACATGTGAAACAAACATTTTAAAAAACTGATATAAATCCTATATTTAAGAATGAATAAAGATCTTTTAAACATTTTCTTTAATGTTCTAGGATTCTACCTTTTATATGCCTTATCATTACGTAATTAAAAATCAATGTATATTTTTAAACAAAAAACTTCCTGGAGACATCAAAACGAAAGAAAAACTGTACAATATTGAAATAAAATCTATAATCAGCAATAATATCCACGATACAAATAGAGAGCTCAATGAAATTTTGCAATCTTTGATAAAAGATCACTTTCGCAAACCGGTGAACTTGAAAGTACAAACAGAAGATATGGATATTTTTTTGGCAAGCATACATAATTTTAAAGGTCGAAATCAAATCGTTTCTCAATCAACAAGTGGATCGACTGATGCACCAAGTCTATCGACTCCTTCTTATCTGAAGATTAAAACATGTGAGCATATATATATACCTATATATATATATTTATTTCACACAATCTTACATATCTTTTTATAGGTTGAAAAATTTTAAAAAATTTAATAAATTATTAAAATAAATTGTGAACAATATATAATTCGTCGATTTAATTTATATGATAAAATACACCGCTTTATCTCTTTTGTCGACAAACGGATGACTAAAACTATATTAAATGTTAAAATAAGTCGGTATTTTTCCATTGACAAAAACAAATGGCCTTTGTATTTATATAGTTTTTAAATATAACGAGAGATATAGATATATAATGTTCGATGATCGGCAGCTATTATGACGAATTCGTTGCAGTGTAATGTATCAAATAAGACATACTGTTGGTACTTATTTCTTGATAAAAGGCCCAATGAAAAATTATGTATTGATTTTAAGTCGTATAAAAATTGTTATAATAAGTGTTTGAATATGTTAAGAATAAATTAATTTATTTATCGCGTTTTATTGCCATTTATTTTATTTACACTTCTTTATAATTAAGTCATAATATATATTTACGCAAATAATTTCTAATTCTTTATAATGTAAAATAACATATGGATGTTCTTTTTAGTTTCCAGTGATGAATTGCAGGTGGACGTAAAGGAATTAATCATCAAAGAACATTTCACGTCGCTGTACATGTTGATACCCTTTTCATCAAGCACAAACAAGAAAGTTAAAACTAATACGAGCAGCACTAACCTTTCTAGCTTGATTAAAAAATTGTCAACTAGCGAGGGAATGGATATACTACGGGAATTATTGTCTCGTGTAAGAACACTTGAACCACTGTCTTTCGCTACTCGATCAACCTTCGAAATCGAAAATAATTTGAATATGCGCCCTCTGTTGCGAAAATTAGGCGTCGAACGATTATTGACGCCCGAGGCGATTCCTTTGGACAACACCTTCGTGAAAATCGATCAAAGCGCGCACTTCGGCAATGCCGTGCATCGTGCTCGTGTCAAGGTCACGCAGAAGGACGTCAAGGCAGCTGCAGTAACCGTGATTAGCGGACAGAAACTTTGTTCGAACGATATTATAACCGACATGGATTTCAAGAATCCATTTCTTTGGTTTATTTACGACAAAATGAACGCAGATATTCTTTATATCGGCGTTTTTAATGAAGTCCACATGTCCGTATCTGAAAGACAATTGACAGGTACAAATCAGACTCATCAAACGAGTTGCTCGTTTTAAGAATTTATTTAAAAGTCTTCATATTTATGATAACAAATTTAAGGGAAGCCAGTTTCGAAGCTCTCAAAAATATGATTGATTTTGGAGAATCTTTTGTTGGAAAACTTTACAGCAAATTATATGGAAATTCTTGGGCGATTGTTATTAAATTTTTGTAAATACATTTTTTTTATTTAAAAATGTAGACTGTGAAGATCGCTTTTGAGAAATTTTTTCCCGTCGAAGTTGCAATTTGACGAGTGATTTCATATACATCCAAATTTTGTCTGAAATTAAAATAATAAAAATTTATTATTATTTTGTTCTAAGCTGCACCATATTGGCAATTTTATACTTTTTTCTTATTTTATTAGGTAATTGGCAATACAATGTCATAAGTAATTAAAAAATTAGTTTGTGAATTTAAAACGCGATTTAAAGTAATGAGAATGCTCGCAAATTTATAACTTTGGTGATTACGATACGAGTTGATTTTCATAAAGTGCCCTTGATATGATAATGATAACAATTATACATATAGCAAATCTCGGGATTATGTTTATTTAAGTAGAATCGCGTACATTACACATTTCTAAATACGTTGGTATTAATAACGTATTTTAGCAAATCGTTTCAAAATTAAACAATATACATTTAATAAGTTCAATATTTAGGTACAACTTTTATACTACGCAGATGATTAAATTTATATTTAAATAAATGTCGGATGTTTATAAATGTCAATAATTATAATTATTGACCAATTCCGAATTTTGTGTACATTTTAATTTCTAAAAATATAATCAACATACTTTTCAACGAGTTCGTTAATTAATATAATTTGTATAGTTTGATTATGGACATATTAGTAAACATAAGATATGTAAGAATACATTTACTTTTCGAAACTATTTCTTTTTCGATTATCATTCTATGTACGCATACTTTTTATTTTATCGTATTTCGAATTTAGCGTTAAATTTTTTAGATATTAAAAATTTCTGTTTATAGACATGCAAAAAAGTGACGAATAGATTTGAAGACGTTACGTACTCTGTATTTTTATTTATTTAATTATAAATTTTGTAAATTTTTATACCTTATTTATTAATTTCAACATTTGTAATTTAATCATCATTGTTAATTCTAACATATCCCTTCTATCAATTTCTCTTGGTCTTTCTATATATTCTTTTTTATTTGCCAGATTATGTAATATCAAAGGCGATGTTCAAGTTTGCGGTAACAAGTTTGCATAAATATGCGTCGATCAAGCCAAAGGAAGATTTTGTTTTTAGTCCATATAATATATATCACGGACTTTACTCTGCTTATATGATTTCAAGTGGTGAAATGGAACAGCGTTTAAGAGATATTCTTTATTTACCGAATGTTTCGAAGTATGAGTTGCTGAAAATTATTAATTTTGATAAATACCCCGCAAACCGGCCTGCACGCTATAAGGTAAATAGTTTTGACGCCCTATTCAATAATAATATTAGTCAAAAATATTATAATAAAAAATGTCAAAATATAAAATTGTGACTCTTTTTTATGTAGACTAATTTGAATGAAGTAAATTGATGCAATTCTAAAATATGATATGAAGATTCAGTTTATGTAAATAAACATGTGAAACAAACATTTTAAGAAAGTGATACAAATTTTATATTTAAGAATAAATACGGGTCTCCTAAACATTTTCTTTAATGTTCTAGGATGCTATCTCTTATATGCCTTATCATTATGTAATTCAAAATCAATGTATATTTTTAAACAAAAAACTTCGTGACAACATCAAAACAATGAGACAACTGTACAATAGATTCAGATTTATAAGCAATAAGAATATCCAGAATACAAATAGAGAGCTCAATGTAACTCTGCAACTTCTGCTAAAGAATTACTTTCGTAAACTGGTGAACTTAAAAGTAAAAACAGAAGATATGGATATTTTTTTGGCAAATGTATTTAATTTTAATTATCGAAATCTAATCGTCTCTCAATCGACTCCTTATATGAATTTTAAAACATGTGAGCATATATATTATTTGCACTATCTTACATAGCTTTTTATATGTTGGTAAATTTTAGAAAATTTAGTAAATTATGAAAATTAATCTTATACAAAGCATAATTCATCAACTTATTACTTATTTTTCGATAAAAGGCCAAATAGAAAATTATGCATTAATTTTAAGTCGTATAAATATTGTTAATAAGTGTTTTAATATGTTAAGAATAAATAAATTTATTTATCGCGTTATATTGCCACTTATTTTATTTACACTTCTTTATAATTAAGGCATGATATATGTTTACGCAAATAATTTCTAATTCTTTGAAATGTAAAATAACATATGGATGTTTTTTTTAGTTTCCAGTGATGAATTGCAGGTGGACGTAAAAGAGTTAATTATCAAGGAACATTTTATGTCGCTGTATATGTTGATACCTTCTTCAACAAGCACTAACAAAACGGTCAAAACAGATATGAGCATTGGCCTTTCCAGCTTGATTGAAAGATTGTCAACAAGCGAGGGAATGGATATACTTCAAAAGTTACTGTCTTGTGCAGAAAGAGATAAATCACTGTCTATCGTTATTCCGCCGACCTTCGAAATCGAAAAGTATCTGGATATGCGTGCTCTGTTGAGGGAACTAGGCGTCGAGCAATTATTGACGTCCGACGCGATTCCTTTGGACCACATCTTTGTGGAAGACAATCAATTCGTGCACTTCGGCAATGCCGTGCACCGTGCTCGTGTCAAGGTCACGCAGGAGGACGTCAAGGCGGCTGCAGTAACCGTAATCAGCGGACAGGAACCCTGTTCGAACGACATTATAACCGACGTAAATACCGATTATCCATTTCTTTGGTTAATTTACGATAAAATGAAAGCAGATATTCTCTATATCGGCGTCTTTAATGAAGTTAACAAGCCCGTTTCTTGAATTGGGTTGACAGATACAAATCCTATCAAACGAACTGGTCATTCTAGGAGTTTATTGAAAAGTTTTCATAATTATGATAACAAATTTAAGGGAAGCCAGTTTTGAAGCTTTAAAAAATATGATTTTCGAGAATTTTTTATTGGAAAAACTTTACAGCGTATTATTTGGAAATATTTAGGCAATTGTTATTAAATTTTCGTATAAACATTTTATTTATTTAAAAATGTAGACTGTGAAGATCGCCCATGAGGAATCTTTTTGCCGTGGGAATTGCAAATTGACAAGTAATTTCATATACATCTAAATTTGTCTGAAATTAAATACTAAAAATTTATTATTATTTCAGTCTAAATCTGCACCATATTGTTAAATTTAAACTTTTTTTTTATTTTATTTATTAATCAGCAATACAATATATTAAATAATAAAAAAATAGATGTTTTAATTTAAAACCAATTTAGATATATGAAAATGCTCGCAAATTTACAACTGGTGATTAAGATACGAGTTGATTTTTATAAAGCGCTCTTTACAGACCATTCATTGCAGAACATTTATATATATATATATGTAAATAATTAATAATTGCTTGAAATTTTGCAAATATCCGCTATGCTGTTTTACTAAAAAAATTGTCAAATAATATCTTTTTTAGCTTTTCTTAAATTTAGAAGTACACAAATCGGATATATTTTTTGAAATGGTGATTGGTAACAGATATGTAGTTGATGGAAAATGTACATATCTTAGTTTATAATTTTTAAGTCGATTTATTTGTCGATTTCAGGTACTTTGCATTATATCAGCTCGATATATTCTATGATTAATTTATGTTAAACTGATAAAATAACACAATCATATATATGTATACATATGTATGTAAATACTAATGCATATATTTATATGATATATGTATAAACGTATATACGCGTATACATTTATGTTAAAGTTTTTAAAGTTTAAAGTAAATTTTTTGTTAATTTTAGTTAATTCGCATTATATTTACTTGATATATTCTAACATTAATTTATGTTAGAACTTTGAAAACCGATAAAATAACACAATCAAATATATGTATACATATGTATATAAATACTAATATGTGTATAATACATATATATTTGTGAACATGTACGTATATACGCGTGTATACATTTATGTATAAAATTTTATCAGAAATACAAATCATTGAATTACTTCTTTCAAATGTTATCATAAATGTTAATCATTGAAGTATTTCTTTCAAATTTTGTATAAGAAACATTTGAACTCCAAAAAATAATTCTTTGTCAAAATTTAACATTAAATATATTATAAAATATATATCAAATATGTAGCTTACAAAATTTGTAAAAATATTAAAAGTGCTATCATTAAATGTGCGTAAAATTAGAAAAAATGTTGCCAGTATTTTTATCACTTTTAAACATGTGATATTTTTAATTTATCTTACTTTTATTATAATATTGTGGTAGATGTTGGAATTATACTTCATATTTTCGATAATATGTAACATCTCTTATTTTAAATTGATCTATATTCTTTTCTTATTTTGAAGCTACAACATTATTCAGAACCAATAAATTTCGACTTCTTTCTTATTTGACATACACCATATATATACATATATATATATATATATATATATATATATATATATATATATATATATATATATATATATATATATATATATGTCTATAGGTGCTATTTATTTATTTGGATATTTACAATTGTATCACGACGTGTGAGATAACGAATACTTATATACTATAATTTTAAATAAATTGCAAAATTTGGCATTAATATTAAATGATATGTTTTAATGTCCGTTTGTGTGTATACCTATCTAAGAATGAGTGTGTTTTGTTATAATTCTGGTTTGTTAAAATCGATTTGATTTTTCGCGCATAAATTTAATGATAATTTACGCGTGCGTCAAATAATATAAATATATAAAAGCAGCGTTTACATGATATCAAAACACAAGCAACCGAAGCAAGTTTGACAAGGTTTTGTTACTGTATAGCCTAAAATGGAGCAGAAAAATCTAAGGAAGAAAATTGGTGAGTTTAATTATAATTTAATCCGATTTAACGAACAGGTAATAAAGATATACACAAATATGGTAATATTTTTTTCATGTTATTATTATATATTTTAAAAATATTATTCTATGGTAATTTAGTATATTTCGATGTATAGTGACTCTTGTATATAGCAAGTTTCGCGATTAATTAGATTCAAATATAGTTGCGTACATTATAATTTTCGGAGTCTATCGGTATTAAGAATGTATTTTAACGAATAGTTACGCAATATAGATACAAATAAGTTCATCATTAAGATATAACTTTTACTTGGTTGACGACTGAAGGTATATTTGAATAAATACTATCATTTTAGACATATTAAAATTATTGCAAAATATAATTTCTTCCAAGTTGTTATATATTAAATATTTCTATTAAATTTTACGAATAACAACTACAATTTCGAATTTTTTGTTTTTTTTAATTGCTGAAAATATAATCAACATGCTGTTCGAGAAGTTCGTTACACTTAGTAAAGTTTGACTGTGTACATATGTTAGTAAACATTAAAAATGTAAGAATACATTTACGAAACTATTATTTTTTCAATTATTTTTATACGTATATTTATTTTTTAGGTATCTCGTGTTAATAATTAAATTTCTCAGATATCGTCAAAATTATTCTTATAGACGTGCAAAATAAGTGTCGAAAATATTTGAAGGCATTATACTCTGCATTTACATTTATTTAATTACAAACATTGTTAATTGTTTTAATTCATTAATTAATTTTAACATTTGTAATTTATTCATCATTTTTAATTATAATATATTCCAATTCTTAATTTGGCGTAGTTTTACTTTATATTCTTTTTTTTCTATTTGCCAAAAACGCAGTGTCGGAGGCGCGTTTCAAGTTTGCGGTGACAAGTCTGCATAAATATGCGACGATCAAGCCGAAGGAATATATTGTTTTTAGTCCATATAACATATACCACGGACTTTACTCTTCTTACCTGATTTCCAGTGGTAAAATCGAACAGCGTTTAAAAAAAATTCTTTATTTATCGGCGGATGTCTCGAAAAATGAGTTAATAAATATCATTAATTTTAATCAATATGATTTGACGAATATCATTAATTTTATTAACCCAGCGAAACGGCCTGAAAACTATATGAAAAATAGTTTTGACGCCCTTTTCAATAATAATATTAGTCATGAATATTATAATAAATAAATGTCAAAATTCAAATCTTTGTTGTATAAAATAATATTCAAAGATATGTATCAAATAAACTTTACAGCTCTGAAAATATGTATATTAAGGGGATCCTAAATGCACGGGCGAACTCCGATAGGGTCGATAATGAAGATTTTTTAAATATAATTATCGACAAAACTCGACAGATGTCGCAATAAAAAAGTTGTCAATCGACACACACATACATATACAGGGTGTCCCATTTTATATAATTTATAATTATATAAAAATTATATATACACAGGTTGTTACACATACATATACACATATGTATGCGTGTGTGTATTTATACAAGGTGTCCCATTTTTACTACCCCTAATATCTCTTTGTTTCAATGCATTTTATAATAAAACAACAAAAGTTGTACGGTTTCAAAGGAACTATAAAATAGTACCATTAGTGTTGACCTTGCACAGTCATAAAGATTACGTGAAAGTCACTATCACATGATAAGTTATAAAGTTTCAACATTGCAATATCGCTTCTGAGAATTTTGCGCACATGCAAACTGCATCTGGGGTAAAATATTTTGTACAGTTATCAGCAAACGAATAGATCGCCTGTGGAATTATTTTTTAAAACAACCAGCACACGAATAGATCGCCTCTGGAATTATTTTTTAAAACAACCAGCACACGAATAGATCGCCTCTGGAATTATTTTTAAAACAACCAGCACACGAATAGATCGCCTCTGGAATTATTTTTTTAAATAACCAGCACACGAATAGATCGCCTCTGGAATTATTTTTTAAAACAACCAGCACACGAATAGATCGCCTCTGGAATTATTTTTTAAAACAACCAGCACACGAATAGATCGCCTCTGGAATTATTTTTTAAATAACCAGCACACGAATAGATCGCCTCTGGAATTATTTTTTAAAACAACCAGCACACGAATAGATCGCCTCTGGAATTACAGTTTTAAAACAACCAGCACACGAATAGATCGCCTCTGGAATTACAGTTTTAAAACAACCAGCACACGAATAGATCGCCTCTGGAATTACAGTTTTAAAACAACCAGCACACGAATAGATCGCCTCTGGAATTACAGTTTTAAAACAACCAGCACACGAATAGATCGCCTCTGGAATTATTTTTTAAAACAACCAGCACACGAATAGATCGCCTCTGGAATTATTTTTTAAACCAGCACACGAATAGACCGCCTCTGGCACTAACTACTATAAAAACTATAATAATAATTATCAATTAATGAAAAAATAAACAAAGGATTGCATTATCACATGAAAAAATAAACAAAGGATTGCATTATCTTTCAGATAAAAAAAATTGAGAATTGCATTTTAATAAAAAAAATTAAAATAAAAATTAAAAATAAAAATAAAAATTGCATTTTAAACGTCTATTTGAATGTTCTTATAAAATTACACCTACATACATACATACATACAAATATATATATATATGTATATATATATATTTATATACAGGGTAAGCCATTTTAATCTTTGCACTAAAATTTCTCAAAATTCAAAAGTTTAAGACAAAAATGTTTCAGATAAAAGTTGTATGGTTTCAAGGGGGACATGAGATGGTGTCATTGATTTGACCTTGAATAGCCATTTGAAGGTTACGTGACGGTCAACTTCAATTTCTTAAATGGAACATATATTTTTTCTTGCATACTTTTATAGCTGACTTTAAGATCTTTCCAAAACACTACAATAAAATATT